TACTACTACTACTACTACTACTACTACTATTACTATTACTACTACTACTACTACTACTACTACTACTACTACTACTACCATTCCTGCTACGACTACTACTACTACTACTACTACTACAACTACAACTACAACTACTACTACTACTACTACTACTACTACTACTACTACGGTGTACTACCACTACTACTACTACTACTACTACTACTACTACTACTACTACTACTACTACTACTACTACTACTACTACTACTGCTGCTACTACTACTACTACTACTAATCAAAACTACTATATACTACTATAGACTGCTACTCCTACTATATACTGCTACTACTACTACTACGATCACTCCGCTACAACTCCTATCCTACGTCTACTCTACAACTACTACTACGGGTACAAGTACTACGACTACTACTACTACTACGTACTGCTGCTACTACTACTTACGCTGCCTACGACTACTACTACTAAGAGACACTTACGACTATTACGGAATACTGCTACTATTATACGACTAACACTACGAATACTACGACAACGTACTACTACTTACTATACTACTACTACTACTACTATACTTTAATATACACTTACTATACTACTACTACTGCGTTACTAATTTCTACTTTTACACTGAACTACTACTACTACTACTACTACTACTACTACTACTACTACTACTACTACTACTACTACTATTACGACTACTACGACTACTCCTACTACGACAACGTACTACTACTGCTACTGCTACTGACTACTACTACTACTACTACTACTACTACTACTACTACTACTACTACTACTACTACTACTACTACTACTACTACTACTACTACTACTACTACTACTACTACTACTACTACTACTACTACTACTACTACTACTACTACTACTACTACTACTACTACTACTACTACTACTACTACTACTACTACTACTACTACTACTACTACTACTACTACTACTACTACTACTACTACTACTACTACTACTACTACTACTACTACTACTACTACTACTACTACTACTACTACTACTACTACTACTACTACTACTACTACTACTACGACTACTACTACTACTACTACTACTACTACTACTACTACTACTACTACTACTACTACTACTACTACGACTACGACTACGACTACGACTACGACTACGACTACTAATACGACTACTACTACTACTACTACTACTACTACTACTACTACGACTACGCTTACGACTACGACTACGACTACAACAAGTGCATCTCTACTTCCTGCTAGCACTCTCGCCACCGCTATCACTGAGGGTACTACGCCTTGCTAAAAGAATTATCAGGAACACGAGAAGGGGAAAAAGGCCCAGAGCTATGAGTGTGAGCGTACGCCTCCAGCCCGTCAAAAAAGGAATCGACAGAGACAAGATGTCACCAGTTGACCACCGCCAAAACGAGTCGGCGACGACGATGAGAATGGTGACGTTGGGTGATTGCAGTGATTGCGGTGACGATGATGACGGTGATACTGGTCGCGATGGTGGACGGCAGTACTGGTAGCAGACGCCAGGGGCGGGCCTCGAGGACGTGGCGACGGCGGCCCTCCAGGAAGCGCTCGTCGATGTGCGACCACGAGCCCTCCGGGCGTGCCTGCGCGGCGCTCGCGCAGGAGAGCGCCCGCGCAAGAGAACGACTTGCCTGCGGAGCAGACGCTCCAGGAGGGCGTGCATGTTGGCAGCGTCGGCCAAAAGCTGGCCAAGAACTGCCCAGAGAGGAACCACGCCTTGTCCAGAGTGGCCCGGGCATGCTCCAGAAGCTGGGAGGAGGAGGGGGCCCAGAACCGATCCAACAGCGAATTCCGTGCCAGATTGGGCCGGTGGCGCCCGCTTCGGGTTGTGTTGATCAGCTTGGCTGGCACACATGCCTCACATCCAACTCATCGCGGAGAGCGCCCAGCAATACGGACTGAATACATCAAGGGGCCAATGCGGTTGAGCTCTTCCGCTGCACTCCCTTCACCTGGTACCCTATTACAACTCTTCGTCCGTCCCACGCCTCTCGCCTGGAGAGGGGTCTGCTCGGGCGCAGGGAATCTCCAAAGGCGAAGCATCCACCGAGATCTGGTGGCAGCTGCTAGGGTTAGGTCGGGCATGTCGTCCTACAGGCGAATTCTGGAAGAAAAACAAAAAATGCCTAAACAACAAAATACTCACCATTAATCGAAGGATCGTCCCCAGACTATTGTTTGACTATACTCGGAAATTCCTCCTGTAGAGGGGCATGCCCGACTTCATACTGGGGGGTAGCGGGAAGAAGCCGGGCGGCGTGGGGAGCCAGAGGACGCCAGCAAGGTGAATACCTGCTCCGATCTCGGCCGGGCCGGTCCTTGGCCCAGGAGCTCTATATACTCCCTGCCTGGCTAGGAAGACATAGTCAGCCATGAGCAGTGTGCCAGTCCCGCCAGGAGAGCTGATGCCGTGGTGACACCCGGTCGCCGTGAGACATCACGGGCGGAGCTCTCGGCCTCATCTCTCGGCACCTCTCGAGCCAGATCGATCCGTGGGGCTCCCAGGAGACCCGAGACGGGCCAACGCCTGCCCGTCGCCCTCTCTCCACGACGCCCATGGCACGCCTGTCCGGGTCGGGGAGGCATCGGTCCCCGGGCCCCTCGGCACCGCCCCGGCCCGTGCCTCCCGCATGGGGCCCGACATCGGCGGCGGGCGAGGGAGGGAAGCGAGAGGGGGCGGGCCTTCTCGGAAGGCTCGGAAGTCCCCCGGCCTCCTGAAAAGTTCTCGGAGCCTCTCCCGAGGCACTGACAGCTTCTCCGAAGGCCGGAGCGCTTCTGAGAAGCCCCGCCGCCTGCTGAGAAGGCCTTCTCCTTCTCCCATCCCCCCTCGCTGGCCCGACACCAAAAAAATGCACCACCAGCACCTCCCTCGCCCCCCTTCCCTCTCCCTGGAAGGGGATGAGGAGGAGGAGGAGGAGGGCAGAGGAACATCGAGCGCTCGCTCCCGCGGCTTGGTCAAGAAAAAGGGCAGAGGAGCAGAGGAGGAGCGCAGGGCCCCGGAGGACTGGAACGGCAGAAGCGGAGGCACGGTGGAGGAGCGGGGGTGAGGGGCAACGAAAGGGGGGGACTGGCACATGGGGGGATGCATCGACCTGGAATCGACGATACATCACCGAAAGATCGGCGATAGGCCCCTGATAGTGAATCCGGGGCTGTCGGGCCCCTAGCGGCGATCAATGGGCGATTGCGTGTCGATGCATCCCCCCCTATGCCTATCCCCCCCCCTGTCGTTGCCCCTGAGGGGGGGACAGGCCCGGAGCAGGACGAGAGGCAGAGCTCGAGCAGAGTAGGAGCTCGACCACAAGAGACCTTCCACAAGAAACCCAACCCTGAGACCCAAGGACGTCCACACATTTTTGATGTGGGAACGTCACGCTCTCCATCGCAAAATCATCGAAACCCAAGAGATCCAGGGACCCTGGAGGCAAACACGGCGTTTCTTGGCACGGGTCTCCACTGCAGGGGATCGTGAAACACCCGGGTCGACAAAACTGAGACGCCAAGATCTCAAGGAAACCCACGGTGCTGCAGCATGATTCGAGCCAGATCGATCTGTGAGGGTCCCTGAGGCCCGAACAAAAGCGAAAACGCCCGGTTCGACAAAATTGAGACGCCAGGACTCGAGTAGGGGATCGACTACAGAATCGATTGACCCCAAAATGGATTTGTTCGTCGAATCCACGAACAAAGCGTAGAATGCTCCTAGATCTACGGGCACGCTATGTGTTCCGTTATACATGCGACGAAAGAAACAATTTCGGGGGAAATCAACTCCGTAGACAATGCCCTACTCTTAGAAAGTCCAGGGTTCGCTAGGGACCGACTTCCTCTCAAAACAACCGAAACCCTCGCGAAACCCTACGAAAACTCTCTGGGAAGGATTCCCGAAAGCTTTTTTCGATGGTTCCCGGAGGGTTTTGGAGATGCTCTCGTCGCTTTGGGGGGGAACCAGGCAGTAGACCCATGGCTCCGAGAGCCCCCGAGAGCCTTAGGTCGGGCGTGTTCCCTACAGGCGGCGTTTGGACGAAAAATCAAAAGGAGTCCAGAAATATTCAAAAATAGCCAAAAAATGCCCAAAATATCGTCCCCAGGCTATGAATTTTCTATTTGGGAACATTCCTCCTGTAGAGGGACAAGTCTGACTTACGCCGAGGGGCGCCGCGCGCCGCCGAGGGCGGGAGACAGGGCTCGGCCTAAACTTGGCGGCGCGCAGAAGTGGCTACCTACCAGACCACACCAACCCGACCCGAAGACCCGAATTTCGGGTGGGGGGGGGTATGGGCTCCATATGTGTTTTTGTTGATGTTCCCGGACCCCCCCCACACTGGAAATGGAGGGCAAATTGAGGCCTTCGGGTTGGGTTGGGGTGGTTTGGTGGGTGGTGAACAAGGGGGTGGGGGGAAGGGAGGAAGGCTTCTGAGAAGGCGGCTGCCTCCTAGAAGGCGCTGGCCTCGCTTCTAAGAAGCCAGGGGCGCGCCGCTTCTTCAAGGCACACTAGCAGCTTCTTAAAGCACGGAACAGCCCAGCCACCGCGGCCCCTCTTCGGCCCCTCTTGTGTTGTCGTAACACCGCTCCGAAAAACAAAAAAAACTGGAGGGATTTTAGCCGAAAGGAAGCTTTAGTACCGCGCCAAACGGCAGACGGCATAAAATGTCCACTTCCGCCATCATCATCATCATCATCATCATCATCATCATCATCATCATCATCAGCATCAGCATCATCATCATCATCATCATCATCATCATCATCATCATCATCATCATCATCATCATCATCATCATCATCATCATCATCATCATCATCATCAGCATCATCATCATCATCATCATCATCATCATCATCATCATCATCAGCATCAGCATCATCATCACATCATCATCATCATCATCATCATCAGCATCAGCATCATCATCAGCATCAGCATCCATCACATCATCATCACATTCATCATCATCATCATCATCATCATCATCATCATCATCATCATCATCATCATCATCATCATCATCATCATCATCATCATCATCATCATCATCATCATCATCTAAGTGCCAGAACGCTTCTCGGCGCGGGAAGTTTCACCCTTTGGCCGAAAAGGAGGGTTCCGAATGACTTTCCAAAGATACGTGGGCGCGTTTCACCCTGAGATTCTGGCGTTTCAATGTTTGCGAGCCGGGCGCTTTCACCGTGCTTCGGGCCCCAGGGACCCTCACAGATCGATCCGGCTCGAAGAATGACGCAGATGGATGGGGTCCTGGGCTCCGGGCGTGACTTTTGCGATGTTTACCATTTTTTCGCTACGTCGGATCTCGGGGGAAGTCCTGCCGACGATGGGCGCGCGACGCGGCCTCCGAGGGCCTATTCGGGCGCGAAGGACTGGGGCGGCGATGAATAGAGGGGAGAACACTGCCCTTCTGGGGCCCGAAAGGCCCCCTTCTGGTCCCGAGGGCGCTCCATTTAGGGGCCCGAAAGGGTACCTTTTCGGCATCCCTCGCGGACCCCCAATTTAGCGCCCACCCATTACGCGACCTCCGAGGGCCTACGACGGGCGAGGGTCGTCCGAGCAGGTTCGTGCGGCGTCGGCACGCGCAAAAATTTTTGACACCGCGCCGATCGTTCAACCTGGAATCGATCACGGCCCCGATCGTCCAAGGTTGAATCCAGTCGGGTCCAATGGCGTCACCGTGTCCCTCGGTGCTTCCGCGTCGCAGAATTCAACCTTGGACGCCTTCGCTGGCGTCGCCGGCGCGCCGACGCCTTCGCCAGCGTCGAACAGGGGCTCGACTGCAGAATTGATTTACCCCAAAATGTATTTCTACTTCGAGTCTGCAAAAAAATAGGAAGACTGTTCCGAAGATCGATAGAGCATTCCACGATTTTGTTCGTAGGTTCGACGCAAGATCAATTTGGCGGTAACCACACTCTGTAGTTGATCCCCTACTCGAAGTACGACGTACAGAAGCCCTACATCCAGATAGACGCGTCGGCAAAAACAAACCCAGCAGCCAAACGCTGTCGAGGGCGGCAACAGGTGACAGAGCGCGGTCAAACGCCGATGTCAAGATGCCGACGAAAGATGACGACGACGATGGGGATGGGACAAAACCCAGCGAGGGCGGGCCCTCGCGAGGGACCACGCGAGAGCGGCCCGCCTGCCTCGAAGTACCTGGCTCTTCCTGGGCGAGGCGGCCTCTGATCTTCTTCCTCCTCACATCACCCTCGACCTCTGCCTTTCGCACCTCCTGGGCGGCAGATGCCGCGCAGCGGCCGCCGCCTGCGCGGCCGCAATGGCGACCGCTGGCGAGGCCGCACCGACACCTGCCGCGCGGAAGGTTGGGCAGGCTTATGACGAGGTCACAGGACACGATCCTTGGTAGTCCCCAAACGTGGTGGTGACAACACCTGGCGGTGAGTCTCGGGCGATTTGGTGTCACCACCCGGTTTGGGGACTCGTGCGATTTTCCGAGGATGTCCCGGACACTGGTGGGTCCAGGAGTCACAAAACCCGGTGGTGACCCCGCGTCCCCAAACCTAGCGGTGACCTTTTTGGGGGTTCCAGGTCGCCACCTGGTATCTCACCACCCGGTTTGGGGGCTCCCAAGATCCTGGGGAAACCCAAAAGTACTGATACCAGCGTGCGCTCTGACCAGAATTTCGAGGTGAATCCAGCGGCGGCGACGAGGGCCTCCCAGGAGGCCGAAAAAATGCAAAAACGGCCGAAGGGTAGCGATATGGGTACCCTTTTCCTCTCCTGAGAAGCCCGGTGCACGCGAGCACGGCGCGACGCCCGTGCTCCGAGGCCGCTTGCGCGCAACGACTTGCAAAGCGAGGCTGGCCCGCCTTCTCGTGGATGGTCGGGAACCAGAGGGACTCGCCCCACTTGTGGAAAACGCCTGCCAGGACGTCGTCGCTGCCCTCACGGCCGTCGTCCACGTCAACGTCGTCGTCCTCGTCGCCGTCGTCGGGGAGGGACGATGAAAGACGGAGGGACGGGGCAAGGAGCGAGGACGGAGACGCAAGGAGGATAAAAGGAAGGAGCAGGAGGACACAAGTCAAGACAGGGGTTCGCACAGATAGGGAAGAAGAACGAGGAAAGGGGAAGGGGAATGAGAGAGGGAGGAAGAGAAATAACGTTGACGACCAAGACGCATGATTGAGACGACGACGCGACCGCCGCCGCCGCCGCTCACGTTGCCGCCGCCGCCGACGCCGCCGCCGACGACGACAACGACGACGACGACGACGACGACGACGACAACGACGACGACGATGAATCGGGCGGCGCCGCGACGGCACTGAAAAGAGAGGCGCAACGAGGAGGCGAGGCGCTGCGCGGGCCGAAGTTGCACCCGGCAGCAATGATGGAGTAGTCGAAGTCGATCGTCTCCTGCGCCTGGGGGCAAAGGACGACAGCAAAGACTGGAAGGAAGGGATGGAGCGAGGAGGATGGATGAGGGAGGGGGGGAAGGATAGGAAGAACAAGAACTGCGGAGGCCGGCAGCTTGACGAGGGAAACCATTGCGGCAATGACATGAAAAACGTGGGCATTCCGCTCGTCAGTACAATAGAATACGCGCCGGCGCTTAGGCAAAACGGCGGCAGAGCATGCCATTTCAGGCGGGGTCGCGCGGGCGGTCGAACAGCTTTGGCGGAGACACAGGAACGGAGAAAAGGGAACCAGAACTGCCCAACCCCAGGCACATTCAAAAGTCGGCAGAGACACCCCATCGCTGTCTGGCCTGACGGCGCGCGGCACGGCGGGAGGCGGGCTCGCCCGCTGTCGGGGAGCTCGCCCACGCTCTCACAGGCGGCATTGCAGGAGCTCGCACGAGTAGAAGTGGCGCGGGCTCGTCCAGGCCGCTTCTGCTCCTGTTTAGTGACCCCTGGATCGCAAATGAGAAAATCTGAAAGCTGGCGGCGAGAAGCAAGCGCGGCGGGCGGCCGGGGGCCACGCGGGGAGGCGAGATCGAGGCGCCACGACGCCTTGACCGCGAAAGATGGAGAAGGTGAGGGAAGGAGGAAGACCATAAGGGGTGCGCAAATCTTTTTGCGCGATCGCCTCGGGCTCGCCACCTCAGTCGCTGTCCTGAAGCTGAGAGCCGCTGCGGCCTCGCTGCATCCCCGCCTCTTCGCTGGGCGCGCCCGGGGCGGCACTGCCTGGCGAGGACTTGCGGTCGTCGCCGTCGGCTGCCGCGTGCGACGAAGCGGCGGCAGCGCGCCGACGCCTAGCCTTCTCGCCCCCGCGGCGCACCTTCGTCTTGGACGTGCCTCCTTCGGGCTTGCTCTGGTCCCTGTTATTGTTATTGCCCTTGCCCTTGCCTGCCACGACCGTCGCATGCCCGCGCGACCCGAAGGCCATGTCGAAGTTGGGGGCAGCCGTAGTAGTGCTGACAGCCATGATCGAAGCCCAAGGTGGTGAAGGGTGGCACGTTAACATTCAGTGTTCCACTCGAGAGAGAGAGGTGCGACGCGCTGGCAAGGAACAGCCAACACTGTCACACACATCACCAGGCACGGCTGTAGCCCAGACGTGAGCCTCGCCGCGATGCCCGACGCTTTGCTGCGACAAGTTGACGCGGGGTGCGATGGGTCGTGGGGGACGTCGTGGCGTTCCCGTGGGCGTATGTTCCACATCGCTGAGTAGCCTGCAGCTCTGAATGCCATCGCAGCCAACTCCTCACAGCGACTAGAACGATGTCGTTTGTCTGTGAGCGGCAAGGGCGACTTGTCCGAAGGCCTTGAAGAACTAGGGATTGGAGGGTGGTACAAATGCGATGGTCAAGGGAAGCGCCAATGTGCGTCCACATCGCACTCTGCACACATCCCGTGGATCGCGACAGCCCCGCTACCAACTAGAATTGCGGGGGGTGGAAGCTTGACGAGAGAAAGCACTGCGGCAATAAGATGTAGGACCCCTCTCCACTGGCGCGCGCCAGGGGTGGCGCCGGAGGCGCTGCCATGGAGGTCCGGCGTCGACCCAAGAAATCCGCCCTGGCCTTCGAAAGTTTGTTCTCTGAGCAGGCACCCTTGATAAGGTTGCAGCGTGCGTGATTCTCTAGGTCGAGGCTAATCGCCGCTGAATCGGCGCTTTCCCAACAATCATCACACGCTAGCGCACGCGAATGCACTCGAAAGACAAAATTACAAAAACATACAAGGCTCCCACGATTCGCTACCGGAAGGAGGAGGAGGAGGCGGAGGAGGAGGGCAATGATGAGGGCGGTGCTGGAGGAGGAGGGACAGGCGAAGGAGGGGCAGGCGGATGATGAGGAGGGGGAGGATGGCGGGACTTCTGGGGCCTAAGGAGGCGCGGCGGTGGCGAGTGCGTTCCCCTACTCCTCGGCGAGCTCCTCGGGGATTCCTGGAGGTGCCCCTGGCCCAGAGTGCCTCCAGCTTCTCGCTCCGCTCAGGAGCCCCTGGAGCTCTCTGGGACTCGTGAGGGGTGCCCTGGGAGCCGCGGGGGCTTCCTTGGAAATCCTGGAGGCACCTTGGGCCAGGGGCACTTCTAGCACCACCCGAGCTCCCTCTCCGGAGCGCACAACGGACGCCGGCCTCGCGCCCTCCGCGCGCCCCACGATGACCCGCCTCTTTGTGTGTCCTGACTGCCGCCCCTCCACCGGAGGCCAACATACAGTCAGACCTAGGACAGAGGAACACCCTTCAAGAACATGAGAACCTCCGCCGGCCAAACAACACAGAACGTCTAAGGGTACCCTCCCCCAGGATGCACAAGAGCTTCCAACCCCCCACACACACACACACACACACACACACACATACACGAAGAACACGGGGGTACCTTCCCCGAACGGACCTATATCTTGGTACCTGTCCGATCGTTTGCAAGTTCCACCTCCCGAGCGCTGGTCAGTGATCCCCACAGTCTGGCGGGGTCATTGCTACGATGGCGAGGCCCGCGGGCGAGATCATTGGATTGATCACGCGATTATCTTCCTAAAACTCCTGCTCATCTTCACTATCCGCCTCCTTCCCTTCTCGCATTACCATAAACACTTCATGCTCGTCGGCAGCATCATCAGAAGCGGCAGCAGCAGCATCGCAATGCTAACACCATCACTGTTACCAGCATCACAACTTTCTGCCACAATCACCATCAGCAGCAGAAGCATCAGCAGCAGCATCATCACCACTACCACCACAATGATAGTAATCGTAATGTGGAAATTGATGAGGATAGCGATAATCAAAAAATAGTGATGGAAGTTATAATAACCACAGCGATAATTTGAATGGCAGCAGTGAAGATAGATGTGATAGTTCTACCTAAAATTATAATAGTAGCAGTAGTAGTAGTAGAAGTAGTAGTAGTAGAAGTAGTAGTAGTAGTAGTAGTAGTAGAAAGACGTAGTCGTAGTAGTAGTAGTAGGTAGTTAGTAGTAGTAGTAATAGTTGTTGTGGCAGTAGTAGTAGTAGTAGTAGTAGTAGTAGTAGTAGTAGTAGTAGTAGTAGTAGTAGCAGTGGTAATAGTAGTAGTCGTAGTCGTAGTCGTAGTCGTAGTCGTAGTCGTAGTCGTAGTCGTAGTAGTAGTAGTAGTAGTAGTAGTAGTAGTAGTAGTAGTAGTAGTAGTAGTAGTAGTAGTAGTAGTAGTAGTAGTAGTAGTAGTAGTAGTAGTAGTAGTAGTAGTAGTAGTAGTAGTAGTAGTAGTAGTAGTAGTAGTAGTAGTAGTAGTAGTAGTAGTACCGCCCCCCCCCCTTTGATTTGACCCCGATACCCCCTTCCTGGGGGACTTCCCCCCCCTCTGCCCCTCCCTCCCTGAGGAGTCCAATCATTCGCTTCATGGGGGGAGGCCGCGGCCCCATGAAGCGAATCCCGCATGCTCGGGGGGCGAAAATCCAAAAACACAGGAAAACCCCAAAAAAACAACAACAAAAAAAAAAAACAAAATCCTGGCGAACTTTTCGCCCTCCCCACCCCCTCCGAGGAATTCCTCAGGATTGTTTTTTTTGTTTTTTTGTTTTTTTTGGTTTTTCCTTGTGTTTTTTTGGTTGTTCGGCCCTCCACCCTTCCCCCTGGGGAGCGGGCGGCCCCAGGAGCCCCCAAGAGGACCATGGGAGGCACCAGAGAGCCCCCAGAGAGGCATGATGAGAGGTGCTACTATTGTTATTACTACTTCTACTACTACCACGACTGGTACTACTAGTATTAGTAGTAGTACTACTACTACTACTACTACTACTACTACTACTACTACTACTACTACTACTACTACTACGACTACGACTACTGCTACTACTACTGAAACTACGATTATTCAGAATATTAGTATTATGGCTGATATGATTATGTCTACGACACCTACGATTACTGCTACTACCATTAGATCTGCGACGGCTACTTTTATTGTTACTACTGCTACTTCTACTGCGACTTCCACCACTACTATTACTACTACCACTACGACTGCTACTTCTACTACTACTGCTACTACTACTACTACTGCTACTGCTACTACTACTACTACTACTACTACTACTACTACTACTACTACTACTACTACGACTACTACGACTACGACAAATACTGCTACTACGACTACTGACTACTACTACTACTACTACTACTACTACTACTACTACTACTACTACTACTACTACTACTACTACTACTACTACTACTACTACTACTACTACTACTACTACTACTACTACTACTACTACTACTACTACTACTACTACTACTACTACTACTACTACTACTACTACTACTACGACTACTGCTACTACTACTACGGCCACTACTACTGCTACTCCTGCAACGGCTGCCACCACTGCGGCTACTACCGCTACTATTAGCATTATGACGCTTATTATTATTATTTCTAATATTTGTATACTTATTCATTTTACTACCAATGCAGCTATTACTACTAGTATTATGACTACTACTACGACTACGACTGCTACGACCACCACCGCTACTGCAATTATCATTGCGACATCTACCACCACTACTACCACTAAGTATACTCCCTATCGTATTGTTACTACCAGCTTCTTATTGATATTGCGGCTGCTACCAGTACGATTACGACTACG